GCTCAGAGATCTCCTGCTCCAGCTTCTCCTGAAGCTCTTTGACTCGAGTCACTTCACTTTTCTGCTGGGATCTGACCTGCTGCTTCACATCGGAACTTCTTTTCTCCATGAGGCGGATCAGCTCAGTGAAGATTTTCTCACTGTCCTTCACCGCTTCGTCGGCAGAGCGATTGACGGCCTCCACCTCCTGTTGAAGCAGCTTCACGTCTTTCTCTCTGTCCTGGATTCTCTGCTGGATGTTTAGTCGACTCACCTCCAGCTCCCTCTGCCTCTCAGTCCTTTCAGCTGCAGCTGTGACTGTGTCGTGGCCTTTGTGTTCATCCATTAAGCAGAGATAACAGATACACTGATGATCAGTACGGCAGAAAATCTTCATCACCTCATCGTGACAAGAGCAGATGTTTTCCTGGAGCTTCTTGGAGGGGTCCACCAGCTTGTGTTTCTCAAAGGCAGGGGATTCATAATGAAGCTGGAGGTGTTTCTCACAATAAGAGGCCAGACATTGCAGACAGGACTTGATGGCTTTCAGTTTCCTCCCAGTGCAGACATCACAGGACACATCTTCAGGTCCAGCATAGCAGTGATCAGCAGGAGCAGCTTGCAGTCCAGTCTACTGTAGATCTGAAGGGGAGGGAACAAGGAGATATGTGGACAGAGTGGAGCCGGCTGTGTTTGAGAGCAGGAGGAAGAAGGAGGGGTTATCAAGCTGTGGTTCATTCCAGGAAGAGGAGCAGCGCTGTGAATGTGAACTTTGTTTCCTCATTTACAAACAGAGCCTCGGTTAAAACCTGCTCCACGTTTGAAAACATTTCATTTCTTTAGTTGTTAAATATTTCTTGTCTCCTCAGAGGAAGAGTTATAGACAAACATGAAGCCATCAAAAGACTAATGCTGTTCAGTTTTCTTTTACTGCTTAAAAACATCTGGCTGACAAAAAAGTTATCAAATTAAACTAATATGAAACATCTAAATTGTCGTACAATACCTTTCTCTCATATTTAATGATACACTTTTAAACACTTGTCACAAAAGAGTTGAGTTTCAGGATATGATCCTGATGCAAAGCAGCGTTTCAAGATTCACATTTATTCATTTCATGACTTCATGACTGGACCTGATATAATCTGCACATTTTCCATTTGTTGTTGATGTTAAAATATTCCACCTGTTGTAAAAGCTGAGTCACTCACTGGTTGAGTGACGACTGAGAAAACTCCTCAGGAACAACATGAATCTCCAGCAACCATAAACTGGTGGACAGGAATGAGGAGGATTTTCCTAAAAAACAATGCATGGACTCATATAAAAATAATGTCTCTCAATGATCACTTCTGACCCACTAGAAGTGGTTTACTCTGCAGAGAGAGAGCGTCAACCTCTAAATAAACTGAGCCACCAGGTGTCAGATAGAAATGGTGCATCCAAGAGGAAGCTATGAAAATGGCGGACACACAGCGGGTCGAGACGCCAAGCGGACAAAGCTCGTTCTAACATGAGAGTGAATCAGGGTTTGTCTTTCACCTGCTGTTGAGCCGGGGAGGAGGGGCCAACTGTTAATGTTGTGTTTCACAAACTGACAAATATCAGAATAACTTCTTCCACTACTGGTTATGGTGTAATAATTTAAGTTAAGTGATTTGCACATTCTCCCTTTCTTAACTCCTTTTTAGATGGAGACTCCTCTCAGCTCTCCTCGGCCAAAAAGAAACACAGTTTTAGGACGAAACTCAGCCGGAAGAATAGATGTAGGATCCTGAAACAAGAGAAGAAGAAGAGCAGCGTCACTTCCGGACCGACTGCAGAAAGCCCGAAGCTCAACGGCAGAAAGAAGTCAGTAGAGGTTTTCTTTGGCTTCTGTCTGTTCTTCACATCATGAACGCTGTTAATACTACTTTGTCAGCTGTTGTAAATGTACATAGATTTAAATTTAAGGTGATTAATGCTGAATTTAAAGTTAATTATAAATGCATAATATTTTTAACCCCTATAAGACCAACTCAACAATCATACAGTCATCTTGAGTTGTCTGATGATGTGAATGTTCAGAAGTAAACATGGAGATCCATATCATCTGAATGCTGAGCACATTTCACATTCTTCTGCACAACACAAACTCTTGATCACTAAATCTGACGTCACACTAAACAATAAACTATACACGTGATCAAAAATCTGTTCATCTTCGATATATGCATCAAGAGTTGAGGCTCAGGGATTAAAACTTTACATTTAACACTTTTTAAAAGTTTTAAGTTTCCATCAGATTTATATTTAGGTATGAAATATGTTACTTAAAGATTTTGTTTCCTAAAACAAGTCATTATGATTCTTGTAATCAGTTGAACATTTACATGAATACATAATAATTCACTGATAATTCATTTAGTCTACCGAAACTAAACAAGTAGTGAAATGTATTTGTGTTTTAAAGAGCGGCACATTAAACCTGCTGACAACAGAGTAGAGTGATGTGCTCATGTTGCTGCTCACTGTTTTCAGTTGCAAAGACCATTTTAACTGTTGCACATGTTAAGTTGTTAGTATTTTAGGTTTCCTCATTTAGTCATGTAATCGTCTGTTTCTTAAAATAAATATTATTTCTCTTAAAGTCAGACATGAGTTTTCTTAAATGAGTCAAACAGATTTTTATTGTTCACACTTCACTTTGCTTCTTTGTAGAAACATAAAGCTTATAAAGTTGAGTGGGATAAGTGGCTCCCCAAAACATATACGTAGCAGGAACTGAGGTAAGGATAAATTAAGCTTCATAGAAAGTTGTTGAACACTTTTGGTGAAGCAAACTTTGAAACTTGCCAACTATGTTGATTTAGATGTTTTATTGAAAACAGACAGAATATGACTCTTCAAGCTTAGAGTTTCATCAATCAGGACTCAAAGGAAACCTGTGGATGAGACCTGTGGCTAATTCACTTATTTACTAAAGACTTTGAGCGAATATGATTTTTTGACATTGAGAGATGTTTTTGTTAATTGGAACCATTTTGTAAATTGGTTTGATTAACAGAGTCAAATAGGAAATATTCATAAAGCACATTGTTTGTTTTTTAAAGCAACAATTTTGAAGCACAGACAATGATGTCAAACCTTTTTTTTCAGAATCCATACTGCTGGTAATACAGGAAGTTCCACTCCTGCATTTTATTGTAAACCAACTTTACCAACATCTTTGAGAAACATGGAGGGACAGAAAGAGGGAGGTAGTTGTTGAATGTACTTCACATTTACCCACAGGTGCTACTTTCTGCTCATTTGGTAATATTCCAGTTTCTAGAGATTTGGTAAATACTGTAGAGGTAAATGTCCTGATTATAAAGGAACTCATGTTGACAATCAGACATAACCTGAGCTCATCATGAGCAGCTGCTGAATGTCTCCTCCTCTCCTTAGATGTACATGTATCTTCTGTCTCGCTGGCTCTTTGTCTTGCAGGATACGGGTCCCAAGCTTCATGAGCAAAAGGCCCCATGTGGTTCCTGCTATCAAAGCTCACCTTCACATGGAGTCGCTCTCTTCCTTTGCTGGTGCGACTGTTTTGTTTTGTTTTCACACATAACATGCTCGAACAATTGATTATGTCGAAATAAGTCATAAAAAGTGATAAACATGAACTCTGTACTTTGTGGTGTTTCAGGAGGAAAACTGACTGAGTTATACTCTCATATTAGTTTCACATTTTCTCCATCAGCTTTGCATGAAACCCTGTAAATAAGACAAGAAGAAAAGACTTTGTTCATTCTTGAGTCAAGAAATACTTTATTCATCATGTAAACCTTCAGTTTGTTCACATCCCATCAGTAAAGTCTGTTAAATGACTCTTGTTCAATGATTTCATGAACACATTCACTTCATCCTCATAATCTATTAGTTTGACCAGAATCTCAGTTATGTAAAAGAGAATAATGATTGATTTACTTATTGATTACGATGATAATAATTCGTTATATAATACATCATAGTACCTCTTTTGTACAACGATTAAGAAAACAAGAAGAACAACATTTAACCTGTTATAGAATATAAACATAATTTCACTTTAAGAAATCTTCACAAAGAGTGCTGAGAACTAAATATCTTTGATAAAAGAAGCTCTGGCCATCATTTCCAAAGGCTTCTCAAACAAAGATGTATATGTCCAGTACAGAAATGACGGGAGCCATTTGTGGACTGTCCATCACAAATACAAGATTCAATCCAAGAGTATGAATCTAAAATGCAGAAAAGAGAAAAGCGATATGTCAATCGAACCTCAACGATACTACCGGTAGTATCGTGTGTAGCTATATATTGCGACGTCTTCGGGCAGTAGAAGCCACACTGTCAAAATTTCTTGCAAAATTTTCTAGTGTTATATAATACATCATAGTACCTCTTTTGTATAACGATTAAGAAAACAACAAGAACATTTAATCTGTTATAGAAAATAAACATATTTTCACTTAAAGAAATCTTTACAAAGAGTGCTGAGAACTAAATCTAAGCTCTGGTGATTTCTCTCTTTAAGAGCCATGCAGTGGAAGAGAAACAACTAATAAATACATCAATACTAATATTTATCAAACATTTAAACCTCAGAGCAGTTTACATTTTCATGAAGAGAAATATCAGTTCAGGTCAACAAAGATCATCACGAGCAGTGATAGCCTCCATGGCTGAACATACACAGGAAGGAGCTCCACCTAAAGACACTCAAACATGTACACAACAATAATGACAAGATGTCAAAGTACCGCCCTCAATGTTTGATTGACAGGTGAAGAAAAATGAGCAATGAAGTGACAATGATGGAGACAAAATGAGTTTCAGGATTAAAACACAAAAATTAATTTGCTGTTCCTTAAATCACTTTTGTCTATTTTAGTTTACAGAACTCAGCAGTGTCTCCATGATAACCATAAAACCAAAGTCCAGCATAGAGAGGCTGAGTGAATGTGGTCTGGA